GGGGGGGATGGAACTGGAGCAAGTTAGTAATAATTGGAATATTTATATTGGCAGAATACATAAATGAGCCCTTAAACTTGGCCATTTTTGTCTTGAACATCTAAACATAAGGTTGTTTCTATCAGGCACTTAAACTAAATGTAAGAAGATTGACAATACAAAAAATACAAGAATAGAACTCAAATACAATACTGTTCGGAATAGAAAATTGACAGTACAAATGTAAGAAGAGGACTCTAAGGGACTGCAACGATCAAAGCAAATCTACCATGAATCCTTATTATCAAGAAAACTCGCACTACCTGATCTGCTATCTCCAACACCTGTATTTTGTACAAAAATATGCAGAAGTATAATATGAGTAAACCATAGTCGGTACCCAGTAAGTATCAAGACTAACCTCGGTGGAGTAGTGACGAGATTCAAGTCAAGACATTCACTAATCAAATAACCTGTGCAAACGATCAAAAATCGAAAAAAAAGAACAATAAAAGAAAGTAATAATTGTAATCTCATCAAATTAAGGGATAACCATTTAGAACAACTAAAGATCTCATTCCGATAATAAATCATCACATAGAATCACACACACACAGCACCTCGTGCCCATATTATCAATCATCCTCGCACGGGAAAGACTTCATGCCACAGCATAGGCCATACCCCCGCACGACAAAGACCTCGTGCCATAGCATAGGCCATACCCTGCACGGCAAAGACCTTGTGCCATAGCTTATGCCATACCCCGCACGGAAAAGACCTCGTGCCACAATATAAATCACACTCGCACGGCAAAGATCTCGTGCCACAACATATACCACAACAACACGGCAAAGACTTCGTGCCACCATGTATGATCATACCTATGTCAGTTACCAATAACACGTTTCAAGAGAAATTTATGAAGAATCAAACAAAGTAATGCATGATAGCAACTTCCTTTTTATTTAATCCGTTAGGTTTCCAATAACTCAACAGAATATGAGATAATAATTTCACGTAGGTAAATCTATCTTGGCAGCCAAATAATCAAGTAATAATAGAGACACAGAGTGGTACATTGGGAGCAGTACAACAAATCACATAATATGCATGACACACACAAGGAACTCATAAGCAAAATTAGCAAGAATACCCCTTTTTCATCAACAACACGCCCCCAAGACATCGCATATTATCCCCACATAGACACCATTATCTCACTGCGTGTACAACAATAAAGTAAATATCCGCCTTGTCTCGCCATATGCATATTAACAATATCCAACCTTGTCTTACCACATGCGCAAACTCGATATACACAACATGTCTTGTCTCGCCGCACGCGCAATATCAACAATAACAATAGAACGATAGAAACCTCATGCAAACACTTGAACAATCTGCCCAACAAGTCCACATGTGCTATAATCATAACCACACGACATGCCAACAGTTGACATCAAAGACATAAACTCGCAATCTGGCAATGCAGTGCACAAGGACAAACCAATAAAGAAAATGCGGATGAGTGTTCAACATACAAGCATGAATTCAACTGACTCAATTTAGCAACGATCTCACAAACTTCCAACTTGGCTAATTTAGGAAATTCAAACCATAAGACATGATCTCTAGCATAGAACATGAACTCAAGTAATCATTCAAAGAGGAAACACGTAGTGTAGAGATCTCACAATCAAAACAAGGTAATAAGAGTAACCTCAAGTCAAATTCGATCGTAAATCATACATCTGACCGTGTACGCACTCGTCACCTTGTGTACAAATTATTTACTCATAACACAATGAGCAATTAAGCCAAAATCCTAAGGGGTAATTTCCCAACACAAAGTTAGGCAAGATACTTACCTCAAAAGTCCTCAATAAACACTCAAAAATGGCTTTTCCTCTAAAATTCACTTCCGTTCGGTCCCAATCTCACAAAAAAATGACTTAATAAAATCAAATAATGCAAGAGAATTCACTTTCAGTAAATAAAGTTAAGATCTTTATTTTTTTCCCAAAAAGTCAACAAAAGTCGACCCCGGGTCCGCCCAGTCAAAACCCGAGTCGAAGGGTAAATCTTTACTATCCATGAACCCACGAGTCCAAATATGTATTTGGATTTCAAATTCGAGTCTAATTCAAATCTCAACTCTCAAATTTTTATTTTTCAAAACATAGTAAAAAATCCCAAAATTTCCTTTCAAATCCCATGATTTTAATGTTAATCTATAAGAAATCAAGTTAAAATATTGAAATTAAGTAAAAATCACTTACTCAATAGCTAGATGTGAAAATCCCCTCCAAAATCACCTCCCACCAAGTCTGGGGCTCAAAATGTGATAAAATGAGACTAAGTACCGAAATAACCAACTATAAATAAGTTGTAGATGTCGCATTTGCGACTAGGGGTTCGCAAATGCTACCTCCGCAAAAGCGAACAAAGGCTCGCAAAAGCGACCCCTGACAGGCCCTGCATCACATTTGCAATAAAATGTTCGCAAATGCGAATACCCCAGCCTAGCAGAAATGTCGCAATTGCGACTACGAAAAGCGCAAATGCGAAGAACCCCCTAGGGATAGGCTATCGCAAATGCGATCAAGGGCCCGTATATGCGAACTCAGCACCTGTCGAAAATGCGATCCCAGTTTCGCAAATGGAAAACCTGGTCCCCTGGCCCAATATTGCAAAAGCGAGGAGGATCTCATAAATGCGACCATCTCCTCGCAAATGCGAAAATAGCACACTAGCAAAAACTGAACCTTACTCATAACTCTCTATAACGCATCTGAAACTCACCCGAAACCCCGGGGCTCCACGCCAAACATCCACACAATTATATAAACATCATATGGACTCGATCACACACTTGGATCATCAAAATAACATATAAAACCACGAATCGAATACCAAAATGCATGAAAATCGCTCAAGAACTTCTAAAAATACAACCAAACGTCCGATTCCTATCAACCAACTCAAAATGACACTATATTTTGTAGAAAAGTTTAAAATGACAAAACAGATCCATTACAAGTTCCAAAACCAAAATCCAAACACGATAGCCACAAAGTAAAACATGATCAAACTTAGGAAATTTCCGAACCTTCAAATTGCCAACTTTTGGCAAAAATAGCCAAGTCTACCTAGGGAAAATCGAATCCAATTTCGAGCACACGTCTAAGTTCAAAATTACCATATCGTTTTCACAAAATTCAAACTTCAGTTAATATTTTCAACTTAAGCCTCCAAACTACGAACCAAAAGTTTCGAATCTCTCCAAAACCTCCCCGAAACCGAACCAACTATCCCCGCAAGTCACATAATCATAAATACACCCACAAAATTCCTCAAAAGGAGAAACAGAGCTCAAATACACAAAACGACTGGCCGGATCGTTATATTCTCCCCCTCTTAAACAAACGTTTGTCTTCAAATGGGCCAAAAGTCATTGCAAAGCATCAAATCACTGCACAAACTTACCATACACATACACATGGGTGATTCCACATCATCTCAACCCACAATTGTTGGAGTTCTCTCCTCCAACTAAGCTCTAAGCTGATCAATGACATTCTTATCCAGACATAACTCATCTAGGCCCGATCACACTAATTCCAGGTCCAATAATCTCATCTCATACAGTATATGCTATACAATCGGCAAGCCACACCAAATACCACCTAGGCATATACGTCGCAATCCACTCCCAACAAGCAAAAACTCAAATGTAACTGAAGATGGAAAGAGAAACACATGAGAGAACTATCCAAATAGCCCAAGATGCACAACTACCCATCAGTACCATACCACGAGTCCACCCCACAAGGGAGAAGCAAAGCACACGAAATAAGCATAAATAATCTCATCCTAACATAAATCCATCGCGGCACGTAGCCCGGTCCAAACATATCGATCTACAAGAAAACACGAGGATCCCATCCTCAACTCGAAATCACAAGTAGGATAAATAACCTATCAACCAAAAACCTCCCTCTAACTCAATCCCGTGGAATAAAATCACAACACGTAATGGAATCCCCATGCCTGTAGAGTACCTCAATCATAAGTCGTGGTTAAACCATCCCAAAAAATTATGTCAAAACCCACCATATTAAGTAACAAAAAAAATCAACCCTAGTCTCACAACCCCCAGTGGTGACCAAACAAGAATAATAGACACAATTTACCACAATAGGATCCTCCAACGGGTGTTGGCACATAAATAGAGTTACTCATGAATAATGAGGCATATCCAAACAAGAAGCTGAATAGGACGACACATAAAAATAAGTAGGACCCAGATCAATTAAAATTGATGCATCTTTATAACAAACTGGAAAAATAACTGTAATGACATCACCTGGTGTAGTGGCCTCAATCCTACCAGGAAAAATATAATAATAGGCCTAGCCTCCCCCTCTAGGATGCCCTCTACTCGCATGTTCCCCATCACTAGTTGGTTGTGCAGGTGTAACATCAACTAGAGCGGGAATCATAGCCTGAGTACTCCACTGAGGCACAACCCCCGGAGTCTGGGACAATCTCTCACCATGTTCTTGATATCCCCGCACTCAAAGAAACCTCTCTGCCGACGTATTTGTGGGAGCTGTCCAAAACG